ACCCGGCACGATCTGCCCTCGGCGAAGCCGAGTTGGCCGTCATCGATCACCCCGTTATTTTTTTCACGTGCCGAGAGGATCCGTCCCGTGATTTGAGCCGGCACAGAAGTGACGTTGATTGGTTCGGAGTTCCCTGCTTGGGTCATCGCTCGGAGGGGACATTCCCCAGCGCCGAGGCCGTTGCCGCCGGGTCTCCAACCTTCCTTCCCCTCCCCGCAGGCGAGACGGGGCTGCTGGTCATCAAAATCACCAAGGACACCCCTTTCGAGGGCTACGCGGGCGATTCCCAGAAGACGGAGAAGAAGATCTTGAGGGACGTCTTGGTCAAAGGCGACGCCTTCTTCAACAGCGGCGACCTCCTCATGATCGACCACGAAGGCTTCGTCTACTTCCAGGACCGAGTGGGAGACACTTTCCGGTAAACTCCAACGCTCTCCTGTCAACGTTTGGGTGGACGACGTCACCCGCTCGGCCCAAATCGTCCCTTTCACCGCTTCACCCTTTCTCTTCTCCAGTTGGAAAGGCGAGAACGTGGCCACCACGGAGGTGGAGGCCACTCTTGCCGCAGTGAACTTCATCCAGGAGGTCAACGTCTACGGGGTGACCGTGCCGGGTGAGTACGAATCGCACCAAAATAAGAATGCGGTGACATCTCGACTACGTCCAACGTCCCCAAATGGTCCGAGCGGCCACCGAGAAGCTCAAAAAGAACGGAAAGGACCTACCACCATCATCTAAGTCCAACTACTTCAGGATTCACCGACCCAAAAGAGCCCGGCATGGGTTTGGGCTCCCACCCCAGTGGTCCAAGTAGCCACCAGGAAGAGTAAACCAGGAGTAGGTTGCCCCAAAGAAGCACCCAGGGGTGTCTAGGGCAAGTAACAGGTCCACGTCGTGGTCCAACCGTCCCACCAAGAAGGTTAAAGTGAGGTTTACTGACCGAAAATTTGGCTGGAGTGCCCACCAGGAAGGTTAAAGGGGGACTTGGTTGCCCAAACCAAGCCCCCAGCGTTATTTTGGGCACACACAACAGCCCTGCGATGGTCCAAGGAGCCACCAAATGGGACTTGGTTGCCCAAAAAAAGAAGCATCTGGTGGGGTTTGGGGCAACTGATGTGTCCACGATGGTTCAAGTGGCCACCAGGATGGTTTAGGCCCATCGTGTGCCCCCGTTAACGTTCCAAACGGCCACAAAAGGAGAAATATTCACCCCAAAACCAAGCCCCTGGTGCTCTGAAGTGGCCGAAGCGGGCCGGGTCCACCCAAAATGTGTCACTTGGGGCCCGTGATGGCCACCGAGAAGGAGACTCGGCGGCCTCTAAAATCCCGCCGGGGCGTTGTGTCCGCAGGGTGCGAGGGCCGGTGCGGCATGGCGGCCATCCGCCTCAAGGCCGGGGCCACCTTCGAGGGCGAGAACCTCTACGCCTTCACCAAGGAGACGCTGCCCGGCTACGCCGCGCCCCGCTTCGTCCGCATCCAGGTCAGGGGCCACCCCTCCCCTT